TTTATTTCTTTCTCCTTCCTTTTTCTTTTTACCGTTTTTCATGGACCAAAACGAATTCGAGGTCAATAAAAACGCAAAAAAAGAACCAGGCCAATATCCAGCCGTATTGACCGAGAAAACTTGACCAATATAGGATTTACTATATAGTCAAGAACAGTTTTTTGTTTTTGTTTTTGTTTTGGGTAGCCAATCAGAAGCCCTGGCAGGATTCGCTTGTATCTTGCGGATTCAGCCATACTAAAATAGTGCTGCGTGTGCGGCTGATATAAATAGGAGTCTCAGTTCTGTTTATTTAATTCCTCGTCATGAGGGGTGGATCAAGATTTTACGGACTTGGTAAAAAATGACTTATGGACAGCTAAATGCAGTTGTAAGTGCACTCATAAGTCTTGATCAGTGTTTCCGACAAAACCCCACGATTCCCATTCCTCTCTAATCGTGTGGGGAAGGAGAGTGTCAGGGGTTATCGTTGACTCATGTATCATTCTACATGACTAGGGTTCTATCTAGGATTTATCGTTTTGGGGAGAAGTCCCGAGTGGACAAAGGCCAGGACTTCCTAGGGAGGTCCGGGGGCATGCCCGCCCCGGAAATTTTTTGTAATGAATATGCGCTGAGATAAAATCGCTGGTGCATTTTGAGACACAATTTTGAAATGTTCAGAAATGTTGGACTGTGTGCACTGACCTCGTCGGGTCTGGATGATGTTTCAGATATTCTTACTTATATACTGTAATGATATTTTTGTGGTGGAGGGGGGCGAGCAGGGGAGGGGTACGCTGGGTATTTTGGGGGGAAGCTTCACCTCTCAAATACCCTAGATAGAACCCTGATGACAAAAGCAAACAAACACAAAAAAAAAAAGACTGTGGTGGCTACTAAAATACAATGCACAGACAAAAAAGAGGAACGGTACACACATAATGTAGACGAAGGAGATATTGCGTCAGGTAGTGAAACAAAAATTCAAGCTATTTTTAATGGAACCTCCTTGTCTTCTAATATCCAAAAATCAATAAGAAAGAATTCCTACTATTCTTAATTCTTTCTGCACTCTTTTGTTTCACTTCTGCTGAAATATTTTTTTGCGATGATTGGAATTTGTTTGACCTTTAACTTTATAAATGTGTTTCATAACACATGGTTCAGCATTTTTGTACTTACAGCTAAAAATGTAGTATCTTAGCGTAAGTCAACATTGATTTACTACAATATCTTCTCCTCATTACCTAAACATTCAAGTTTTTGTTTGTTAACCATTAGAGGCTTCCATTATGCGAACTAAAAAGATGGTAACTGAAGAACCATTTCTTTCCGTTTTTTATGCTGGAATACTATTCTCTTGCCATGACGATTAACGTATAGTTTACTGACAGTACAAATGTGATACAACGCGTACTGACTGGAACTGATTGATTTGAAGTTGTGCTTTGTCGTTACTATCAGGTGTTACTTGTTTACCATCAGCAGTTGAAGTGAGCTTCGAAAGCAGCTAGGTAAAGAGTATTTTTGTTATCTCAAATTAGCGAACTGATGTTATTTACACTCTCACTGTCATTGCAGCACGCTGTCCTGTTGGGACGTACTACAACAGTGACGCTGATGATTGTCTTCTGTGTCCGGAGGGAACGTACAGTCCAAGTGAAGGCGCCTTGCAGTGTACACCATGCCCAGCGGGGACCTGGACCATAGGAGCACGACAAGAAAATTTCACGGCTTGTACAGGTAAAGGTTTTCTGTCTGGGTCCATGCATCATCTATCTATATTGCGCTAGTTCAAATCGGAGTTAAATTTTGCAATGAAAGAGCGATTTTCTGCGCGCTGTTTGGTCGAGAGCTGTGGTTGATGATGTATAGACCATGGAAACGAGGTAATGATGGCGCAATTTTTTTTCTCTATCTCCATCGCGCGATTTTCCAAGAAACCTAACTTCACTTCGCGTCGAGATAGACGCTTTTTTAGCTACAGAACTGAAGGAAAACTAAAGATATTTTTTAGTTTAAACTTTGGTCCGCACAGTAGGTTACGGACCTTAAAGTGACCAATCACATGCAGGACGAGAAATGGCTTTGCCATGTAATGAAAGGCCTCGTCCCGAGAGATAGAGACGGAGTATAAACGTACCTAATGGCTTCATATGGTTACATTTAGATGAATGTGGGCCAGGCCTGTTCTCTGAAACTGGTATCGCCAAGTGCTCCAACTGTCCGCTGGGAACTTACTCTTCAGGAAAGCGAAACAAAGCTTGTACGAAATGCCCAGCAGGCACTGTGACTGTTATTGTTGCTGCGAAAGGAATTCAAGATTGTGGAAGTGAGTAATTTAAACCTTTTACTCTCAAAGTGGCTAAATTCAAATTCAACAAAATTGCTAAATTGTGTCTTGAAAAATGTTAAAAAAGTAATAGAACCATGTGATAGTACTACTGAAGTCGTTCCATTTGAATGGTCACACCTTATGATTTCTTCCTCAGACATAAAAGGTTAGAACTACCTTTTAGTACGCGATCAATTCACCCTGGGATATATAATTACGATACTTACTTATCAATTTTTTGTGTAATCAAAATATTTCTCCGTTTCCGATTGGCTCAGTTCTCCCTACTAATTCCTTATAACAAGCTGACATTGACCAAATTTGGCAGACGTTTGCGATATCCGGTGAAATTACGTCAATAGTACTTGCTATCGCAAGAAAAAAAAAGAGAGGACACCCGAGACGCACTTAGGACAAGGTTGCGTTAGCTCAGTTGTTTTAATGTAGCTAGAGAAAAAAGAGACCTTTAGATTCAAGGACGCGGACTACTGCGAGTACGGGATTTGACTTAAAGTTTTTTCGCGTATTCTCAAAATATAGACTCCCCGGAAAGCCTCATTTTACCATTTTTCACTAGAACAGTTAGCACTGTTACCTTAAGTGTAGGAGGTTACACCCTCTCCCGATCGCCAAGTGATAAGACTTTTAACATTTGATAACTTATTTCTACCACTACGACATTCTCGCTAAAACTCGTAGTAGATTGACGACGGCTACCTCGTTTTCCCGCCAAAATGACGCTGGTTCACGCGCGAGCACAACTTAGTACTGAGAAAATCTCGCACTCGTTGTCGTACTCGTCTTAGAATATAAAGGGCTGCAGTGATGGAAAAATTATACACGTTTTGCACAACTGAGTTCGTATTTATATAGAAAATTCGCTTTACAAGTAATTGAATTATTGCTATTATTATTATTATTATTATTATTGTTGTTGTTAAATTATCATTATCTTTATTATATCTGAACTTCTGCCTGAAAATAAATTATAACAGGAAGTACAAAAATGCACTCAACGGATGACACTGTTATTTGAAGAATATCTCGATAAATATCCCTTTTGATCCTGAATGTGCCGAGGAACATATTAATATAGTGTAAGTTAGTGTGAACTGTCTTGGACAATAATAATAATAATGATAATGATAATGATAATGATAATGATAATGATAATGATAATGATAATGATAATGATAATGATAATGATAATGATAATGATAATGATAATGATAGTAACGTTAATTATAATGATAACGACTTATACTGAATTATTGTTGTTCCTTTTTTCAGTGCAATGTGCCCCTGGAACGTATTCAGACAATGGTGTGGAGCCATGTTTGCCATGTCCTGCTGGCACTTATCAAACGGAGAATGGAAAGACTACTTGTCTTCCTTGCCCGGGACAGCAGTCTACGCATGGTACGGGGGCAAGTTCCCTGTCGTTCTGTGGAGGTGCGGCAAGTCTATTGTTTGTAATTCTGTCGTTTCTTTCAATGTACGGCTGTAAATCGCCTTGTATTCTTCTTCCTTTACTCGTAGGATATGCTAAGACCACTGGTGGCCTCTGTTGAAAACTATTAGAATACCGTAAATCCTCTATTACCTCCCCGGGTACTTATTTATTTCAAACACCTCTTATAGGGTGGGTTAATAAAGACGGGCGACTTATTTGAGAGGGAGGGGGCCGGAGGGGATTATTTAAATTAGCGATGATGGTGGTATTAATTCTTCCTGAAGAACTAGAATGCAAACAGGGGCACCCAACGAGAATATAGTTCAAAACCACTTTAACATAGCATTGTTAAACGTATTTTAGTATTTAAACGGTAGATATAGGCATATTTTTATTCCCTAAATATTTTTCATCTGTTCGGATTTCCTAGCTGAAATTCTAGTGATCCGAAAATTATAGGGATCAAAACTTACCTTTTCGAAAATTCTAGCCAGAAAAAAAGGCTCCCAAAAATTCTAGGTGACCTTTTTAGGGTAAAAATCCGTTAAAAATAGGCAATTATACCATTTTTCAGATGTTAAAAAATCCTAGGAGAGGCAGGCAAGCAAGAAATTTTACAACAAATGTTCCGAAAATTCTAGATCGCAAATCGTCTTCCGAACAGATATTTTCCGAAAATTGTCGTTGGGTGCCCCTGATGCAAAGTGGAAAATCTCAAGAACAAGAAGTTGAAGGTCATAGAGCCGAGGATCAAAAACCAATCCGACCTTTCAACGCGTGAACAAACCATCCCGGACCAGTCTAAATGAAGTTTTACAGTCGTGATGGATTAATACAGAGTATTATTTATTAGTGAAGAACAGTTCTCGCGAAGCGTGCCGCCGTAAGGCCGCTAGCGGAGGGAGTTAATGATTTTGTCGAAATTTACATCATGCGTGGAACGCGCCTGATCGCTTAGCGAGACAGAATCACCAGTTAAGTCTGTATACGCCACTTCTACATTTCCCATAATGCACCTTATTTGCCCTCCAAAATTTTGCATAACCTTTGTTTTTCATTTCTCCTGGGTATTACAGCCTTCCCAAGAGAAATTGAAAATAATGCTTATGCAAAATTTTAGTGGACAGATAAGGTGCATTATGGGAAATGTGGAAGTGGTGTACATAAATTTTTGATAGGCGCAGTTGTCTAGCAACAAACTATAAACAAACTCTAAAAGACGCCATTCAGCCTGACGTCATCGTGCATTTTGGCTTTCCAGGGAAAACACGAGCGCGTACATTGATCGGCCAAGAGTGAATAAACACGGGAATACAGTCGACTCCCGATAACTCGAACCTTGAAGGGAAATCGAAAAAGGGTTCGATTTATCGGGAGTTCGAGTTATCGAGAGCTCGCAGAAGATACCCGGGAGTTAGGCCTTAGGGGAAAAAGACACTTTTTACTGCACAGTGAACATTTTAATCGAATTTAATTGTAGAGAGGTTAAGTGCAGTGACAACTGAAAGATACTTGTTGATTATTAAGCAGAACGTAGCGTAACAAAACGTTGCCTAAAGAGCATGCGATTTAGTGTTTTAAGAAGTAAAGCTGTTTCACGTTAGATTTTTGACAAACAAAATTAGTCTACACTAGTAACCTTTATGCCTACAACACGTCAATGGGAAATTCAAAATTAAATGTTTCGGACGCCCGTACATTGTCTATTTTTTTTTTCGACTTTTTAAGGGCTCAAAACATGGTTCGAGTTATCGAGAGTGAAATTATATAGACTGAATGATCTGAGGGGAAACGAAAATTACTTCGAGTTAGCGGGAGGTTCGAGTTACGAGGGTAAAATTACAGTAAATGTATGAAGGAAATCCAGGGCAAATCGATTTTGGTTCGAGTTAGCGAGGGTTCGAGTTATCGGGAATCAACTGTAATGCGAAATGGCTTTGAAGTACTCGTTTAGATAATGTTCTTCAAATTTATCTTTGAATTCATGATAAATACAGCTCCACAAGGTTTAAACAGCGTGAATGGCAGAGAAAAAGTTCATTAATTTTACATGACGAATTGTTCAGTGGCCGCGTGGCCCAGTGGCCTGGGGATTCACTTCTCACGCTGGAGTAAGTTACGGTATAGGTTCAAATCCCGGTGAGGCAAAAATTTACATTTTTTTTTCTGGTTGGTTTTTCATCGTATTTTTACCCTTTGGCTTGTTTCCCTTTATTCTCAATGCTTACCCATTATAGCTTCGCGAGATGTTTGCGATTATAGCATATTTCTAGTTAGGGGGAGTGCAGAGGAGGTGGTGTTTATTTGGGAGGGTGGGCTTGATTGAGGTTTTACGGTAAACCGCATTCCTCTTAACTGTTATTCGTTTTGACCAAAAGACTTCCACTTATTCGCGCCTACGTTTGAGTTGGTACCAAGGTTGAAGACAAGCCGTGACAGCTTTTCCTTCAGCCTTGTGTTCAGGAAAAGCCCTGAAAACGAGACTGCCTTTGCCCATTCTTGTTTGCCCCCTCGGTACATATAAGAGCGCTATGTCAAGAGGATAATACTGTTAGGGGTCAATTCTGTCCAGGAGTCGTTAGTTAGTGTCTTTACCAAACCACAAAATGCTCCTGTAGAGTTATGAAGTAGACATCAAACAAATTTCACCAGGGAGCACCAACCATAATCATTTTTAAGGTGATTTTTGTAGGCATAATTTTAAAACTTGAAAAAGATGAATTCATGTCCATCCTTGCTATCCATTGCAAAAGACGACAAGAAGCAGTTTCAATGCCTAAATTTCAATTGATGCAAAGAAAAGTTTGGATCAATTTAGGTTTCTGGGAAACTACCCACCTACCCGTCCACTAACCTAACATTAACACTTACTTCTCTCTCAGGGCAAAATGGTGGCTTAGGGAAGGGGTAGGTGGGCAGTTAAAAAGAAGGCAAATATCATGACGTAGCCCTTTTAAAACCAAGATGCCTCCCCCCCGCCCCCCATAACAAAAAAATGATCGGCTCCACAGTGGGGGGAAAAGGCAAAAACCTAACCTAGCGGTGGCCTGAGTAGAGGCTACCAGACTACTTCTCGGTTCCCTCCACTCGCCGACTTTTTCCTCCTTTTTCCCAATGCGGAGGCCGGTCCCAGGCTGCTCGATCTCGACTAAAACATTTGTACCAAGTAACCCGATTTTCGTGTCACACGTAGGCGCGGCGACAAGTAATAATTAAACCAAATTTGCAAATGTATGTACTGAACTACTGCGCGAAATGCATGCAGATATTCCGTATCTATGCGAGTCTTTTGCTGAAAGATAACTTATTTCTTTGTAGAGGTTGACACCTGTGTTTCCAGCCCATGCATGAATGGTGGCACGTGCGTAAACACCAAAGAATCCTATCGCTGTGACTGTCCCCCTGCATACAATGGAGTGAACTGCGAGAATGAAATAAACGAGTGCTTGTCTTCACCATGTTATCAATCATCTACTTGTGTCAATAAGGTATTTTGTAACTAAACTTCAAGTAATTGATAGAACCACCCTCTTTACCTGCCGAAACCAAAAAAGAAAATATATATATGTATGTTGCAGTTATTTTTTTTATCTCAGGTAATTTTTATTTTTCCTTTGTTTCAATTGATAGAATTTCAATTGATAGAATTTGATAGAACCACCCTCTTTACCTGCCGAAACCAAAAAAGAAAATATATATCAGTGTATGTTGCAGTTATTTTTTTTATCTCAGGTAATTTTTATTTTTCCTTTGTTTCAACTTCATTAGCATACATTACCATACCCCCAAACAAAACAAGAGAAATCCCATAGTGTAAACATTCAAATGAAACCTTGGCAAAAAGTTTGCTTGGTACTATTTACTTTTTAAGATTTTCCAAACAAAAAATTGCAAAACGTTTTCTTTGGCTATTCTGAGGAGTTTAAGGAAAAACTTAGTCCTCTCATAATCGTTAATAGTTAATGTGTACCTTATTCTATCTATGCACTAGGTTAACGCGTTTAAATGTCTATGTCCCTCTGAGTTTACGGGCAACGAGTGTGAATTTCCTTACCTCCTTTGCAACCGATTAACGCCTTGTGTACACGGGAATTGCATAGACAAAGCAGGGACATTCGACTGTCAGTGCAATAAAGGTTATGGAGAGAGGTTCTGCGAGAAGAACATCGACGAATGCGCTTCAAACCCTTGTCAAAACAATGGCGTTTGCATCAGTGGCTTAGACACTTACCAATGTAAGTGCCAGGCAGGTTACTCTGGTGCGAATTGCCAGTTCAATATCGACGATTGTGCTGCCGATCCATGCCAGAACGGTGGAACATGCGTGGACGGGCTGAGGTCATACACTTGTCAGTGTCCGACTGGGTATACTGGAGCCAATTGCGAGCATGCCATTGATCACTGCATTGGTCAGCCGTGTCGACATGGGGGAACATGTGTAAACCAGCCGAATGGGTACAAATGTCTCTGCAAACCTTCGTATTACGCATGTCGCTGTCAGAAAGGTAACTGGCAGCCAACTGATTATTACTTATGGTAGGCATTCAGACTGTGAGAAAGGTCGAGAACAGGTCGAAAAGCCGGGAAGAGTTTTTCTCAATCAAGTATTGCGATAGGCTCCCTTATATGGGCTTTAGGTACCTTTATGAGGCCCTGGACCAATTCATATACCAAAGCCTTTGCGCTTTTAGGCATAGAGCAATTCCATGTATGTGTGACGAACTGGTGTGAGCACTTGCCTTTCGCCAATGTTGCCTGGGCTCGAATCCCAGAGGTGATGTTTAATGTCGGTTGAGGTTGCTCCGAGAGGTTTTTCTCCGGGTATGCCATGTTTTTCGATCTCCTTAAATAAATTCTCCTCATTCCATATTTTAAAAGTCTTTTGAGAGCGTTGTAATATTTTCCCAGGCAAAACAAATGTTCGTTCAAATAACCGTGTTTTGTTGGTCTTTTTTACTTTTTCGCAATATCTAGCCCAGGCAAAACTTTTGTTCGTTCAAATAACCGTTTTTCATTGCTATCATTCTTTTATTCGATTAACCGCCCATTAAATTTTTGGACCTTGAGTGGGCGCTATTCGTGGGCGTTTATTCGAAGTTTGACCCATTCTCACTTTTATTTTACAACAAAACAGTTGGTATCAAAAAGCGAAGATGTAGCAAAGTTTCTGGAAGAAAACTTGGAGGGTAACTTTTTGGAGTTTTTGTGGGATGGAGCAGGGGTGGGCATATATGGGCGCTTATTCGAATTCTATAACAACCTCTTTTTTTTCTAAATTAACTTTCAGAGCTTTCGTCAGATTACGATCTTTCCTTCCAAGCCAGAGCGGTTAAGTCTTATTCGGAGATCAAAAAGCCAATTCCTGATCTCAGCGCTGTGACCATTGCTTTCTGGATTCGAACTAAAGATACCAATCCAGGGACAGTAATCTCGTACGCCACTTTAGATGGAGGTGTTGTTCAAGACAACGCTCTTACATTGCAAGACTATGCCGCTTTCAATCTCTTTGTGAACAACGTCACTGTGTTTACAGGCTTGGACGTTAATGATGGTCAATGGCATCACGTGGCAGTCACATGGGCGAGCTCTGATGGCACTTGGCACGCGTATCAAGATGGTGTCAATGTCCACAGTTCTTCTACAGCTTTCCAGCAAGGTCAAGTTATAAGGGGTGGTGGTGTACTGATCCTGGGTCAAGAACAGGACGAAATAGGCGATGGATTTAACACTGAAGAAAACCTAATAGGAGATGTTAGTCAGATGAATATTTTCGACCACGTTTTGTCGCCTAATGACATTTATAATCTTGCGTACAGCGCCTATCCTGTCAAAGGAAATGTGGCTGCGTGGGGTGATTTCAGAGAGGCGCTATTTGGAGAATATCACCTGACTGACAAGTCGTACGCCCGTGATTGTAAGCGAAAGTCACGTTTTACTGTTTTATTGATTGATTGATTGATTAATTGATTATTTTTTTACTATCACACATACCATACTCTTTAGCAGCTTTATCAAACCTATTTCATTGTAGATAGTTTGAGAACTGACCTCTGGAGCTAAGGTATTAGGCTAAATGAATTAATTATTAAATATTATTATACGAACACTAATGAAATACCAGGTGAGCTTTCGCGCGAAAACTTGACATCTTCACAGGTGAAAATAACATGTTATCTTCACATCTGAAAATATCACCTTTGCTATGGCTACATAATAAATTGCGCCTTTCACACCAAAAAACTATTAAAGTGAAATGGTTTGGTATTTCATTGGTGTTTATATAATACATAGATGCGCTCACTCGTGAAATATTTTTCAACACTCGAAGAGAAATTTCGTATCTTTGCGCGGCCATGTAATTATCCTCTATTTAAATTATTAAACCGTCCCCTAGTGAAGGATCTTACTTTTTTCAAGACGTAGAAGCCAAGTACTCCAAAGTGGTAGATTTGGACAAATAGGAAAAAGTTATATTTCTTTTCAACAATATTGATCCATATGTTTGTAAAAAAACTTGGCTACTTTGTCTATGAAGCATTTCAACTTAGACAATTATATTCCATAAGACAAAAGCATGGGAAATAGAGTTTTCTAATTATAGCTTTTAATTAAATACTATCTGTTTATTTGATTATTTTAAATATAATTAAATTTATAATTGTAATGTAATAGTTTAAAAGCAATAACATTTCTGTATATGGGAATGCTAATTAAATGTTATGTTATGCTAGAATTCAATTTTTCAAATTATTGTTATTGTTGTTGTGGAGAACTGGCTGTAGCAAAATAAAAGTTTCGAGCCCGTTCAAAAGTTTAAAAACGTCGAAATCAATGATCTTTATGTCTCTTTTTTAGTCACTTCGGCCCAAAGAAAATTTTTTGTCACCTACAAGTCCTACTTATCAGGAAACGATGACAAAGTGGTATCGAACAGTAACCCAACATCCTGTGCAGCGAGCTGTCTATCAGAAGCTGCCTTCATCTGCCGATCTTTTGAATTTGACAACTCAAGCAACACATGTCGGATGAGTGCGAAATCATCAATTGACAGGACTCTGGAAACTGCATCTGGCACCAGGTTTTTCGAGCTAAGTACGTAAAACATCCTTTTTTGAGTTGTTTGACAGTGTTCTTGAGTCTCTCTCCTTTCGCACAGTTTTGAAAGAAAGCTCTTTACATACAGGTTAGAGGTGTACAAAGTTGAGTAACCTATCGAGAGACGATTTAAACAATACCAAAAGTGCGGAACAAACGTTTGAAAAGCTTTTCATTCGTCTCGCGCTTTTATTTATTTTTCTAAGGAATTTGTATGAATAAGGCTTAAATAATTCACCTATCTTATAAAAAAAAGCAAGGCGCTTCAAAAAACAATTCTTTCCTTGGGTAGCATATATTTATATGACGTCAGAAAGCCCAAACGTTTGACTTTTGCATCGAAATAACTGAACTTCGGTCAGTGGTTCAATTTGCTGGCGTTAAACATTTCCGCGTGATTTGTAGCTAACACCTACACGATATAGGAGTGTAGAGTATGGAAAGCAATTAGTGTTTACTGTTGTTGTTGTTATTATTATTATTATTATTATAAGTGATACCGGTAACAGTAAATTATTATTATTTTACACTATATAAACCAAAAAATAATTTGATAAAAAAGGATTAGCTTTTTCGTAATCACGCTTCGAGGTTGTCCGCTATAGTGAGAAGTGATTCCATTTGCTTTTATTGAAATGGATGGATGAAAATTGCTCGCTCTTTTTGATAAACAAATCATGTTCAGTGACATACAAATCATGTCAAAGATAAAGTAAAATCAACTATTACAGCTGATTCTTAAGTCGCGGCACAAGCCGATTAATAAAATGAATTTACAAAGAGAGATACGAATTGTGCTTACTGGAAAGAAAACAACAACTTAATAGACCTTGTCACGGTTTTCGACGCCTTCTTGACGAGTAGGCAACCTCGTGAGAAATACACTGTTTGTATCAGAATCTAATGTCGAACAATTTCCGTAAAACGGCTGTTCGGAAAAAAATATGAGCTGTAAACTAAAGCTACAAAGCAAAGTATTGTACAAAACATTTTTGGGCCGCAGCTGTGCTTAAATTTCTCCAGAGGCTTGCTTTAGATTTTCCTTATATTTGTCTGTAATTTTTCCCGAGACTTTCTTTCAGACAAATGTATAGAAAATTTAAAAAAAGTGGTTCTAGGTCTTCTAGCGCATGTAACGCCATTAATTTTTTTGAATAGAATCCTTTGGAGTGAAGCCTTAGTTTACAATTCATTTTTGTTTTTTCAGAACGTCCGTTTTACGGAAATTATTAGACTTTAGATTCTCATACAGACACTGTAATTTCTCACGCCGGTTTGCCTACTCGTCAAGATGGCGTCGAAAACCGTGACAAGGTCTATAACAGCCTGCAAATCACTAAGCTGAAACTTATGTCATGTTGGACCCTTTCAAACGTGGAATTTCTTAGGAGTTCCGAACACCTATTTTAGTCGATGAAAGTACAGATTAAATACGGCAGTTGATTCAGACGTCGGATATGAAGGTGCCGAATTTATTGTTGTAAATATTCCCAGTCTCTAGAATTTTTTTTTATCCAATATGGATAAGGGTTTCTGTAATTAATGCATTATATTCGGAACATGCGACTTCTAAATCAAATGTTGAACCAAAGTGGAATTTTCGACTGTTTCAGTCGCGGATTCGACAAAGTCATATTTAATTTGAAACTGTCGAATTTAGTTTTTATTCAGACGTCCCATCTCAAGGCGGCTACCTCTCGAACTTAATTGGGCACATGTGAAAATCGTCGATTGAGCTAGGTAATGATAACAGTGTCCAGTATGACTAAAAATACCGGTAGATATGCTGTGATACATACCGCATTATTTATATTCCTGTAAACTTTGCTCTCAATTTACCACATTATGTCACTAGCTATAGGCTTGGTCCATGTCGGGGAATGTTTAAGAAATTTATGAACTATCGATCGCGCGGCTACCGACTGAACCGTATAACCGTACGATTCTCTCCCTGCTCGTAAGGTGTCTTTTCATCTGTCGGGGAAAACAGTCACGTGACTGATGACGTTATTACCTTAGATGTGACATGGGAAGATATTTTATGGCAAATGTTACCTCGTTGTGGTCTGACAGTCTTCTACGTATAAAATTGTCAAAGTTATAAAGCTTTCAAAAACTTGCCTCAAAGGTTTCTGGGAGATTTTTTTATGATAATTATAATTCATTTTTATAATTATTTATTTACTTATTCTTTTTGGATCTAGATTGTCTTGCAAGCCTCGGAGTGTCAACAAGTCGAGGTATTCCTGACTCTGATATAACGGCATCCAGCCAGTTTAACAGCCAACATGCACCTTCAGGAGGTCGCCTAAATTATCAAGCGCAAATAAATTCTGTGGGAGTAACAACTCAAATTGGGGGTTGGGCTGCTTCAAGCAATAACAAAGACCAATACCTGCAGATCAAGTTTAGCAAGATTACCCAGATAACAGGGGTGGCCACTCAAGGCAGGTCAGACGCAGATCAATGGGTGACGTCTTACAAACTTCAATACAGTACTGACGGATCAAGTTGGACTGACTATCCAAGCGTACGTGTGAATCCTTAGTGAATTCATGTTAGTTACCAGTGTACTAAGACTACGTAAATCGCAAAACCTCGCCGAGAGCGCGGGTCTAAAATAACTAAGAATGGTATTGTCTTAACCCTGCAAACTGTTAGACCTTCAAAGATGGTGCTCCCGTCTCCACTATACGCAGGAGGCATAAAGAATATTGCCCCTAATTAGTACTTTCGTGCTAAATACATTGTCGCGTAAATATATTGCTTTTTTTGTTGTTGCAGACACTAAATGGAAACACAGACCGAAACACAGTTGTTCGTCATGAGGTCAGGTTGTTCCAAGCGATGTATCTTAGGTTCAGACCACAGACGTGGCACGGTCACATATCGATGAGAGTGGAAGCATACGGGTGCCCACCAGGTAAGCAGAATAAGAATGCCTGCTGAGATTCCCCAGTTAGGTTACCCAATCCCCCGGGGGGTACTCCCTATAATGGCCTACAGGGGAGGCTCCGTCCGAAGGGGGTATCTTTTTCAGGCATCAAGTACATGAAAGGCTAGGGATTTAACTTATTGAAGTGTTTGAAAGTGTGGGGAAATCTGTTGTCTCGGTCGGTATATAGGCCCAAAAGGCCTAACAAATGCATTTTGTGGCTGTGAAGAAAACGTTCTGGTTTTTGTGCTTCCTTCGCATTTTAAAGACAGAGCATTTAAAGAGGCTAAAAGGGATGCGAAATTCTAAATTAGGTATTTGAAAGGGGTACCATTTGCCAATAGTAGGTATACAAAGGGGGTACCTTTTTCTGTCAAAAATGGTTTATAAAAGGGTAAGGGGTTGGATCTCGGGGCGGAGCCTACCCTCTCCGTTTAAAGTTTTATTGAGTAACCCCGGTACTCAGTCCTATTATGCCATGAAAAACTTTCCTTCAATCCAGTAATCCCGCCGATTTTTTGTCAGAGTAATACCGATCCGAATCATATCTAAAAAAGTAATAAACAAGTTAGGCCTGTTTCAAACGTTGTGCTACTGCCGTGCTAAGCTAGCTAGACTGCAGCACGACACTAGCACGACTTGGTTTCAGACCTCGAATTTAATTCAGTCCAATAGAACGGCTGTTGCCGAAAACAAAACACACAAATAAAGAAACTGTTTAGCAAACTTTTAAATTTATTCTATTGTATTTTTATAATTTATGAATTGAGTTCGGCACGGCGGTAGCACTACGTTTGAAACAAAGTCGTACCGAATGTTTGCCTTTAAAACAACATTTCTTGAATCCTACATTGACAACTGGTTCTGTGGTTTCCTTATGTGCTTATCGTGGCTATAACTGCCACATGCATAATTGGTCACCATAAAATTAACGTTTCTGAAATATTTCAGGAGTTCGTCGTCTTCTGAGTTATACAGTGATAATGCATGATAATTACTATTCCAGACTTTTTAGTCCTTGAAAGCGCTTACTAAGTAATTAAAAACATGTTGGTCCAAAACTGTTGGCAATTTTGTTATATCAACCACTTGAATCAAGTTAAATTTTGTCAAACAATCAAGAATAAAGATAAGCGAAAAAAGTATATATTGGGTCAGTTTTTAGTTTTATCTTTGTCACTTGATAAGGATGTCATGGCGACATCGAAACGTTGTGTTAAGCTTTATTCGCTTATCTTTACTCTTGCGTGATTAACCATTTGATTTACTTATTTATTTATTTCGACTTAGCGACCGTCGCACCTGTAGACAGTAGCAATGAATGCAGCCCCTCGCCTTGTCAAAACAGTGGAACTTGTATTAACAGATACAATGACTACCTGTGTGTTTGTAAAAGAGGTTACTCTGGAAAGAACTGTGAGACCGGTAAGTATGCCTATGGCTTTTTGTATGAAGGGAGGGAGGGAGATCCCGGCACCAGGAAAATCCTAGTAAGCGGGTTCACGTGCAGAAGGTTTGGTCCGTGTGGTCACCAAGTTGAGGAGGAATTAAAAACATGTAATTTTGTCACAAACCGGCAGTTCTTTGGATCTTGGTGACGCCAAACGAAATTGTCGGCCTTTATTTCCGTGATTACCGACTGAAAGACCCGCCGCCATTTTTGCCCAGTTTATCACTAGCAGTAGAATCTTCGTAGCGAAAGTACTTAACATGGTGCCAGGATCTTCCTACCTCTCGGCTAGGAAGATCCTAGTAGGACTTTCCTAATGCTAGGGACACTGAAGTACAATCTTTTGCATTGCTACTTGCGTTGCTATGACAACCCCGGCATCTTTGTCAAAAGTGACGTAGTTAGGGCTCGAACTTGGGTCAGGTATTGCCCCTAGGAAGAAAGTCAATTCCAGCCACCTTAAGGCTTTCTCTTTGAGCGAGTATGGTCGCCTTCTGTAGTCATTCAACTGATTCAAGTGTTCTCAAGTAGCACTTCAAAGAAATATGGGTAAATCTGACTTATTCAAACCATCCATTAATATAACCAATAATTATTCACTAGAAGTCCGAAAAAAAAAAACAAATATTCTGTTCAAGTCATATTAAACAACTTATTTATGATAATGTTATTGTCTCAGCTGACCCGTGCAAGGCCATTGGCGCTCCTATCTACGGTACGAAGTCTTCGTCCAGTTACAACGCTGGAAGCACCATCACCTTTACCTGTAATGCAGGATACTCTCTACAAGGCTCCCCGTCTCGAACATGCCAAGGAGGGGGCTGGAGTGGAATCCATCCAAAATGTCCAGGTACTTAAAAGAAATGATCAGCCTTTGCTTAAACTGATCGACTGATAGAAGTGGGTTGTCCGTTCAAGAACGTCAGTCAAAAGACCTTTGCTAATGAATCACTCAAATTGTAGATATTACTTTAACCATCAAACAAAGAAACTTTCATATGACATTGAAATGATTACGTACAAACGAAAAAAAAGCAAACGAGCAATAATAGAAGAATTCCATTAGCTTATCCCTCAGGCAAAAAAGCGCGCGGCTTTTGATTAGTAAAGCGAACGTGCAATGTATTCCTGACGAAAGAAAAGTTTCTTAAAAGTTATTTCTATAACTTCGCGGCCACTTTTAAGAGAACTTACTAGCAAGCTGATAATGAAGAGCCGTTAAAACTGTTTAAACGATCGGCCGTTGCCTGAAGTGCAGGCGTTTTTTTCGGGTGTGCGAATGTTTTGCTCATGAAAGCGTCATGTTGAAACTCCAAACCAGAGGAGGAAACGGGGCGACTCAAAAGGAGCGAAGGAGGGGGTGGGGAGAAAGAGAAGACAAAACGCCGTATTTTTCTTCCTTCCCCCTCTCCCTCCCCCTCACCCTTTCCTTCTTTTGCCCTAGCACCTACCCTAAGGGTTACTGTTTTTACTCTTCCCTGATCTTCCTCCGTCACAAAATCAAAGATGGCGGTTACAACAAAATGAACATAAACAAGCAGCTTTCGCCCGCCAAAAATATGCCTGCACTGCAGGCTAAATCGGCTGATGCTTTACATATCCAAAGAAGGGAGAAAATCAAGGAGCTGTCTTGTAGAAAGTATGGTTATCTTTTTCGAATTGTTCCTTCAATATCTTGCTATTCTGGGGTCAATGTAACAAAACTGTTACAAGTGTAATTGTAAGTGAAGGCATTGTTTTAGAGTCCGAAAACAGTTGTTACACTCGTAAGAGTTTCATTAAATTTACCCATGTCTATGTCATGTAGATACTGATGAGTGCGTCAATAACCCTTGCAATCAGTGGTGTAAAAACACAAATGGAGGCTACATTTGTCATTGTCACAAAGGCTATCAGCTACAAGGAGCAACCAACTGTGTCGGTAAGTCAAATTCAGTATCCTAAAATGAGGTGATAAATTATTATTATTATTATTATTATTATTTTATTTTAATTATTTATTTTTATTTATTTATTTGCCGCTTTAGTTTATTTGAACGTCAAGACTTTTGCCATTTTACTTTTTAGTTGTTTGCACACCACCGAAGAAGAGGAAGTGTATTTTGACAAAACGTGAACTTTCATTGTTTAGTGTGTTAGGCAGTTTCTTGTAAAATTTGATAAAATAAAATTTGCCTCCTTGGAGAGAGTCGAACATAGAATACTTGAGCGTCAGCTGCTCGTCAGAGTGAATGAAGGGATTGTGGATTGTGTATGTGTGTGTGTGTGTGTTCGATGAACAGTTTTCGTTGATTGCCAGGCGATTTACGCATAGAGTATCTATTTGGTGACTGGTTGGTACGTTTTTGACAAGAAGGAAACTTCTTTGTTATTTGTCATTACTGAATGGGAATGAATTGATGCGTTGCTGTGGATTTCTCCCCAGAATAATAAAAAATGGAGTGCTTTGTTTTAAATTTTTATTTCTTATTTTTTCTTTCCTTACCTCCTGGTCAGATATCAATGAATGCTCATCTTCTAAAGGAGGCTGTTCCCACACGTGCCACAACTCCGCGGGATCATTTACTTGTTCCTGTCCAACTGGTCTGGAGTTGGATTCTGGAAAAAGAAGTTGCAAAGGTAAAATTGGAATTTTCAATTTCCACCCCCTTTTTGCAGCAACTGTTCATGTTTTTATCAGACTATAGTTTTAACTATTCGTTATGGAGCCTGTCAGTCTTCCTTTTTCTCTTCCTCGCAAGCTTTTTTGGACGTAACAGTGCACAAAGCTTAATATAATTTATGGAATTTGTAACTAACTAAGAGGAAATATTGCATTGTTTTTATTTAGATCAAGCACAATTAAAAAAACAAAAACAAAAACAAATTGTTCATAGAGAGCGAACTCTGAACGTAAAATTCAAGGCCTTTTCTTCCGTATCTTTCACGCTTAGCGACTTTCATGACCAGTCACCTCTACTAACTATGATTAGAAACATTTTAACAATCTTTGGTGACAGGCGGTTGCTATGGCAAGTAGACCTGACGTCATGATTGACATGGACTCGAATTCGATTCCTTTGCACCTTTTTGTAACAAACGCAAAAGCAGTACCCATTGTAGTTAAAGGTTCAAATAGAACATCTAAACATTGAAAGTGCTAAGGTCACCTCAATTAACACTTTTTGGGACGTACAATACCAAGTTGAATCATCTACTCATCTACCTTTATGTTTGGCTCATCCTGGAAAGTTTATGATTTGTTTCGCGATACATGCATTTCACCATTGCGTTCGAATGAACTTTTCAACTTTTATGAGTGAAATACAAAAGCTTTAATGACTTTACCGTTTTTGCTCTGTTCTTCAGACATCGACGAATGTGCTGCGTCCAACGGCGGCTGCGAACACAACTGTGTAAACAGCTACCAATCTTTCAGCTGTGAATGTAGACAAGGATACACTCTCAGAGCAGACAAAAAGACATGTGCAGGTAAATTCACGCTCCTGGCGAGTGCAACGGAATGTTAAAGTTGAAATAGAGTTTAATCAGTGTTTTCTTGGTGGGCTTATCCAATAGAAGCTTGTAATAGGCCATTTCTGAGTTCCAAACATTTTCATTTTCAAAGAGAGGCTAAGTGAAAACCTTTTTTTTTGTGAAAATGAATTTTATTTGCCTGAGAATGAAACAAATTCCTATCAATGGCTTCGCTCTTAGCCTCGCCTTGAAATAGAGGCCAAGGTTCACTCAGAAATGTCCTTTCTCTGGTTTTGAACTTGAAAGCGTCGCATGGCTGCCTTTCTGTGCTATTTTCTATTTGAAGCATTCAGTTTGGAAAAAAACGACGAAACAAAACAAAACAAAATGAACATAACCGTCCAGCTATTTAAACTGCTAAAAATCATTTCTTTTTTTTCCATGTAGCATTGTCATGTCCCAGCTTAAGCAATCCAGGGAATGGCCAGGTTTCTCTAAGTTCTGGGCTCGTTATGGGAAGCACTGCAACATACACTTGCAACAGTGGCTTCAAAGCTACATTCACATCCACCAGATATTGTCAAGCAGATGGCCAGTGGTCTGGAGGAGCGCCAAGCTGCTTACGTTAGTGTTAAAATTACATAAAATTCCGGGCAAAGTCATGTTTAAAATGAAAATGACTCACATTCCAAGTCCGAAAAACGATGGTGTATACCATTTGGACGTCGATAAGTAGTGACCATACCCTCCTCCATCCAATCAGCTGCTATTAAGCCCATCTTAATTCCAACATTTGTTTATTTATTTATGTTTGTATGCATTCCGTCCTTTTTCCCCCTTTCATGCAATCTTCCATATATATTCAATTCATTCGTTAACTTATTTATTCATTTATTTATTCACATATGGTATTTATTGATATTGTTTATCGTCATCAATAATCATTGAAGATTGACCTCATTTTTCATTCCTCCCATCATTTCCTTAATTCCCTCTTTCCTTTCTTCCTTCCTTTATTTGTTCTTTCCTTCTTTCCCTTATTCATTCATTCATTCATTCATTCATCCATTCATTCATTCATTTAGTCAGTCAGTCAGTCAGTCATTCATTCATTCATTCATTCATTCATTCATTTAGTCATTCATCCATTCATTCATTCATTCATTCATTTAGTCATTCATTCATTCATTCATCCATCCATCCATTCATTTAGTCATTCATTCATTCATTCATTCATCATTCATCCATTCATTCATTCATTCATTCATTCATTCATTCATTCATTCATTCATTCATTCATCCATCCATTCATTTAGTCATTCATTCATTCATTCATTCATCCATCCATTCATTTAGTCATTCATTCATTCATTCATTCATTCATTCATTCATTCATTCATTCATTCATTCATTCATTCATTCATTCATTCATTCATTCATTTAGTCATTCATTCATTCATTCATTCATTCATTTATTCATTCGTTCTTATCATTTGCTCACTCTGTAATTTATTTGCTCATTATTTTCGTTATTTACTTATTTATAGATTTTTATTGTCGTCAACTTTACCCTATCTGTTTCCTCTGTTAAAACTTCCGTCATTATTTTCCGCTGTTTTGTTTGATTTGCGTAATCTGCCACTAGGGTTTGAATCTGGCTAAATTACGTGAAATAGCCGCAACGACAGCAAGCATAACTTAGTTGACTTTTTCCACTTTAGAAACGAGAAAGGAACAGGAGCGGAAATGCGTCCCGCAGTTGTTTCTGGGGTCTGTACTAGGGACGCGCCGGTCACCTCTTGCCTTATTTTTTCTCTGTCCCTAGTAATAGTACTAGGAACGTTAACTCAGCATAGAATCCTTCTCGTTTCTAAAGTGGTGATTAACGTAAATGACGTTATAAAGGGCCACTTTCAAATAATCGCCTCTTATCTAATAAACGCCCTCTCCACGCTGTTAAAACTGTATTAGACGCCCGTCTCTAACAAACGCCCCCTGTCTGATGGACGCCCCCTTTGAGAATTACGTCAAAATACTTTCAATTCATTGAGTTTCTTGTCGCTTGATTAACCAGGGTTGACGTACTTCATCTTGTTCAACGTCAAGTTGAGGATAAGGATAGATTAACAATGGCAACACAATAACCCTGAGCAAAGATTCTGACATCGATGTTGGGATTTGAAAGATCGATATGGATCTCTAGACGGCCTAGACGTATCAATTGATGGAGTGGATATTCCTCTATTTTTAAGCTCCACTTGATATTTTTGCCGAAAGCATATTAGTTTAGTTAAGCTTGTTTCAGTTATGAAAATAAAGGCCTCTCTCTTTTAAACTCCTCCTATCTTTTAAATGCCCCAGCTTGGACCTCTAAAATTAAATAGAAGCCCCGGGTGTTTAGTGGGTCGTTTACGCTATGCGTCATGCTAACTAGTGTGACAGGCGTTGGAAGAGCTGTACTAACTTCAATTTCCACTTATTTTCCAATGTAGGTGTTTTATGCGCAGAAATTGGTCAAGTGGAGCACGCTACACGTGTCCTGACTGGAACAGATGGCGCGAAAAATGTTCTTGGAACCAAGGCAACGTTTACCTGTCACGCGAATTACCGAATGCCTGCGAATGTTGATGCTACAAGAACCTGTCAGGCTGATGGAACGTGGAGCGGAACACAACCAAGATGTGTTGGTATGTTGCACAGAGGGCTTTAAATTTAATTGATACAAACATTTGATCATCGTGTTTATAAGGACGAATTTTTTTAGAATTTTTGCCGGACTGTTTTACTATGTGACCCTCCAAAGGATTTTGATGCTAAAGGTGAAAAGCTCGGTGAATAACTGTGAAAGATGTGATAATCAGTATGTCAAGGCAAAAATCTTGAATCCTCGACAGGGTTTGGAGACCTCGCGCAGACACTTGTGCGTTCTTATGAAGCGGATATTATGGAGAGCAAGGCCTTATACAAAGTTCTTGTTTAACCACAGGAGTCCGAACTGTTCAGAGAAGCGTGCTGACACGCGCGATATGTGATCTCATACATTTACCTTTGCTATGTATGTTATCGTGGGCGTCAACTTCAAAGGAATCAAAACTCCACTCAAACGCAAAAGACCACTTTTAAAGAAAGCCAAGTAAACTATTTTTCTCTCACCTTTTATCAAGATCAAGCGGTGTAAAATTCTGTATTTTTTGAAGCGTTTTGTCGATCAGTTGAATCAAGCTTATAGCAGCCGTCACGGAATACAGTAAATGTATGAGGTCACACATCGCGCTTGACATCAGGCTACAGATTTGAAACGCGCCATGCATACTGTAGTTCGCTGCACAGCCATTTTTGTGTCGTGACGCAAGGTGGAGCGTTGCGTGACAACACAAAGAACGGCTTTGTAGCAGACTATGTTTTCCCCCAGGACTAATGTCGAAGAGCGTACTGTATGTTGATAAATGAAGAAAGATGGTGAATTTGGGTTAAAGAACTTGAAATGTGTTTCAAGCTACCCTTATCTTTGACTTCTCGATTACAAGAAACCTAATTACTTCTAATTATCGGTTTATTATAGCTGCCTTCTGTAGTCCTGTTCCAGTTCCTAATAACGGCGCGGTTCAAGGTTACCGCTATGAGCTGGGTGCTACACTGCGTATCACTTGCAACGAAGGTTATAATTTGGTACCTCCAGATTCATCCTTTCGAACTTGTATTTCTGACGGAGCAGGAGGCGGAAAATGGTCAGGGCAAGATCCCACTTGCGTATGTAAGTGCTTAAGTAGAGACTTATGAGACGAAGTGGGGTGAGGGTTTTAATTCTTAGTGGCGATGGAGTGAAGTGGAGCACCATGGGTAATAAAATTTTGTATATCCTTACATAACGGTACGCAAGCCCTCTTTACGTCTGAACCGCCTTCCCTTCATGTTAGCGGATATCTATTCATCCAACAAATTTTGATTGTGGCATATTCACAATATTATTGTACCCACAGTACGCCCGCCGTCTTCACGTCCGAAGAGCCTTCCCCTTCATGTTAGTGGATGTGAAATGTAACACTTACTAGCTTGGAGCCCAAAGTAGAGAAATACTCTTATAACGAAATGCAAAAATGCTTCAATCACAGGCTTAGAGATGACTTATTCACCCGGCCTGTTTAATGCCAATGCTAATGCAAAGTAAAAATGTTCTAATCGCAAGCTGGATTAGGGGGTGACTTGTTTGCCTATTTCTGTTTTCTTCCTTTTTGACTTGAGTGGTATATTAATCATACCACCATCATGCCAGTTGGTTGTGAAGAATTACCCGATTGATTAAGCAAAGAACCAAGCTTTTTGGAAAAAATCCACTTTTCAGCATAAAACAACCAAATCTGTCTCTTTCATGTAGAATCAGGTGAAAAAGTTGGTAAAACGCCATTTTTAGGTTTTTTGATTAACCCATTCGCCCCTGAACCGCCCGTAACCGCCCATGCGGATCCAGGTACTTTCTATCCTTTGTGACGTCATCAGTTTTAACGGTCAAGGACAACTTTCTTCGCTAACTTGTGTAGAGTGAAGAGATATTTCAAACCATACCAGAATGAGCACAATTCAGTCAAGGACACCGGAGAAAGAAGCAAAAAACCACGTGACATTGACCTCAAAATCTCCATGAAAATCTTCTTCCATTGCTCACCTACCTTTCCTTTCACCTAATCCTAAGATCCTAAAAGCTTTCCTGAAAACTCTTCCCACCAAAATGAAGCCTACTAAATGCCCAGCAAGAGAAAAAAAATGAGGCAAGAAAAGCGAAAAAAGAAGGGAGGAGAGAAAGCGAAAAGTAAAAGTCAAGACTGCTGTGTCACTTTTAAACCCAAAAAATCGAAATCTCGAAATTTTGCTTTCTGCGCATGCCTGAACTTCGCAAGCTGATATTTTGCATCTGGATCAGAAGGCCGCGAAGTGTACGACATGTAAACCGGTTTGTGGTAAGTTTTAGCTCTTTATAGCACGACAAAGACCAGAAAACCACTGGACTAGCTTCAAAACGCGTTTTTCGGCAAAATCACCAGGAGCGAATGGGTTAAAACTAATCAGAAACATATATCTGTCTTGAATGAAGACTAATCAAATCATTCTCTTTCTCTTTATTATTTATTTATTTTATTTCAATGCACATTTTAGTGGTGGATTGTGGAGACCCTGGTAATCCTTATGGTGGCTACCGTCACATAGCAACCAACACTAAGTACCAGTCTACTGTGACGTACACGTGTCAGCCTCAACATCACCTTGAAGGGGAGAACAGCCAAGTATGTCAAGCTGATGGGACATGGAGTGGGTCAAAGCCTGTTTGTCTTCGTAAGTTTGTTAAGGTGGCTTGACCCGTATTTTCGTAGGCATACCTTCCATCTTTGGACCTCTTAGTAACGTCCTTATTCTTGGTCCCCAAAGGACTCAATGAATTAATGGAGATGCCTTTCGTATTTACCCTCAACTGGATTAGCACGTGGACAATGAATTTTTTTATCAGGATAATCATGGCGCTTCCTCAAATCCCGGAAGACAGGTGGGGGACCAGAACAAGGATTTCCACGCTGTTTCACAGACGGACTTAAGTGGAAGTTAACTGAGTTCCGTCTGTGTGGCAGGCTGTGGAAAGATGGCCAGAATTCCTTGGGAAAGAAAGACGATTATTTTAGCAGTAAAAACGTTTAGAAAAGAAAGGACGAAGGAAAGACAGCGAATAAAGATCGAAATAGATTCGCCAAAAACAATTCAATTCTTGGCGAATGTACCCATGCGCATACACGAGAAATACACGAAATACATGACTGCAGCTTAAATAATTGCGTCCAATTAGCAGGAAAATATGACCTTCGTGCCGCAAGTCTCCTTTTAAGCCATTCCCATGCTACTTGATGTTAAAACCGGTCAATAAAGAAGGATTTGGTAAAAAATTAATATACAATATCCCGTGTTTTGCTACCATATGTAGCTAGCAGATACCAAAGGGGGGTTACTTCGTTAGTCTGTTGGTAAGAATTTTAAAAACTGAGAATTTATCTCTAAATATTTGATGATCTTAATTCACAGAGCATTCTTGCGGTAATCCTGGTGTTCCTGCCAATGGAAAGAAGAACTCGTCCACATACAAATATGGCGACTCACTTAAATTCGAATGTAATGTCGGTTACAATTTAATCGGCTCTGCTGTTCGCACTTGTCAAAATAACGGACTGTGGACTGGTACGCAGCCTACATGTCAAAGTAAGTTTGGGGGCAAATTTTTGTAAAAAATTCGAAGAGAATGTCACCAGATACCCACTTACTATTCGATATTCAGAGCTTAGGCACAAGCTATCACAGTGACTTGGATTCTCGCTACAATTTATAACCATTACCTTCCCTTTTTTGTCGAAGCGTTTTCCATAAATGATTAATTCATTATTTCTAGATGACTTATGTAAAAAAAATTTCATTTATACATTATACATTATCATAATTATTTTTATTACGGATTATTGTTATTATTAATTGAAATGAATTGTTAATAGGTTTATTATCATTATTTTATTATTTCATATTTTAAACTATATTCTAGGGATTGTTAAGCCAGCCCAGGTGCTGGCTGGAATCGAGGATCTCTACGGAGGTCTCGGCAAGCGAGCCAGTTCCCCCTCCTCAAATAAACATAGCGACAAGTTTATTAGTCTGCAAGCAAGCTCTCTGGGGCGCTCTGGCGGCGGGGTGGGATATAGAAGGAGAGCTTGCAACTATGTCTCTGGAAATTGAATTCTGCTTCCAATTTCCTTGTAGCTTCCCGTCAACGGAGCTGTCAGATCTCCGCCAGTCAACGCGAATCGGAAACGAACGCGAATGTAAACAAACATTGAATAACACGCGAAAGCACGTGCCAATGGTAACTACCTTATTACTAGTGTCATCTCCGCAAATCAGCATTTTGCATCGACTTTTTCGATGCAGATATTCATTTTCCAGAGACGCCTAGATACCAAAAAAAGAGGGGTGTTTGATAATTATGTCAGTGACGTCGACTGGAGTTTTCGAATTCTTGCCGTTTAAACTTTCTCTGGAGACTCTCCCCCCCCCCCTCCAGAGAGCTTGCTCGCAGGCTATTGGGAAGAAGATAACTTCAACTTGTTGAATTCAATAATCGCAAACATTATTTGTTGTTCTTTATTCAAGTCGTCAATTGTGGCGATCCAGGAACACCACCAAACGGCGTCAGATACGGAGACGTTTTTACTTACCTAAGCCAAGTCATCCTGGAATGTGATCCCCAGTATAGACTTGTAGGTAATCTCTTTAGAACATGTCAAGCTGATGGCACCTGGTCAGGCAGTCAACCCACGTGTCAGGGTAAGAACACGAAAGGCGCTCAACAGACAGTGAAACAAAAAATAACCGCCCAAGGCATTAAAAGAAGATATAAAATAATTAAAAACAAGGCACGGATGAGCAAACTAAAACGGATTCCAACAGTGACTTTTGAAAACTTGATTGTTTATTAACAGTTTTTCAAAGTTTATTTTTGTTGTTTGTAACCTTTGTTATGATGTAATGCTTGAGAAACATATTTGTCTAACACGAAGCTATGATTTTGTCATTCACAAGTAATTTCTCAAGTCCATAGGCAAATAAGGTCGCGTAATTGGCTTTACATACAGCCGTGACGGAGCCCCTTTAAGTGATATGAAAACTATTTATATCCTGGTGCAATAAAGACCCTTAATTAAGAACCTAGTTTATAAGAACCATTGAAATTTGCCAGTTAATCCCCAAGAACCTTTCAGCCTGTAATTTGAAACAGTTTCTTATTTCCAACGCGGTTAAAGTAGAACAACGATTATTTGACATCGTGAGGCCATCCTTTTTTAAGTCCAAAGTGTTTGACAAATAAACTGTCATAGTATGCTGAACTTTAACCTTTATGAAATATGCAAAGTCTTGCTAATGTTTCTTATTCCTAAAAATAAGAAAACTATTAAAATATAAACTTTTCAACAGTTCAACGTCAATTCTGTAGTCCATAAGACTATAGGCCGTGGCTATTGTTGTCGATATTTTTAATTGATAATTCAGGAAGTATCTATACTTAAGCGACAATTAATCGATTTTTTTTTTTCAGCAACAAGCTGTGGTACATTTTTGACTGGCCCAAGTGGCACTGTGAAGTCATCTAATTACCCGTCCAATTACAACGACAACGAATACTGCACGTGGCAGATACAAGTTCCGGTGAACAAGAAAATCAGGCTTGACTTTACAGAATTTAAAACGGAGACTGGCAAGGACTTCCTGATGATCTACGACACAAATCATTACAACAGACCCAACATAATTTTTGATGGAACTACGTACAAACCACCACCTTTTACTTCATCCGGGAATGTTTTGCGGGTGAGATTCATCAGCGACGGAGCTAATGCAATGAAAGGATTCAGTTTTAACTACAAGCAAGTTGGTAAGATGTGATGTTTTTAGTCCCTTAGATATTGTTGTTGCCACAAATTAGTTTTTCCCATTCACCACGAAGACCAATGGTCAGTGAAAATGACATTTTGCCATAACAAAGGCCTTGGAAATTATAGATCGTTTCTGTTAGCGAAGAACAACTCTATCCACTATGTTACATAACACATAGTCGACCATCCCTGTAAGAGTTTGATTTTTTATTTTGTTTATGTTACATGAATTTAGAGACTGTGCCAGACTTTGGGAAAACGCCTTTCATTTATGTGTTTGTTGTCAAGTATTTCTTAAATTCCTTAAGTTGCCCTGTTATGCTAAACAATTTCTACTCATCAACACCTTTCAAAAGTTATATTACCCATTGGTTCGTGGTTGGTTGTTTGTTTCCGTTATTGGAAAACTGGGTGGAAATCAGCAGTAGGGAAAAGGGTCAATATAGGAGATGAAGTGCTGTCTTTTCGCTATAACTTAGTTTTCAGCACTATTCACCGGATAAATGACTATCCAGTGGTTAACGCAATTTATTTTCCAGATACGTCGCTGCGGGTTAATTAACAATTATTCCACGAGTGCGCGTTGGATATTTAACAATTAATGAATTCGGCTTTCTTATCTTATGAAGAATTATGGAGATCGAGGAGGATGTTCCTAGTTTAAAAACATAGCTAAAACTAGCTTACCTGCATCGGTGTTAAGTTTATCTTCGATAGTTTACGTTAAGGTTTGTCCAGCTCCGCAAATATTTTCCAAATAGCAGATGTCGCACTCCAAGTTGTCTTCTTGCTGTTTTTGCCATGTTTTTAGCCATTATTTTGCCTAGTTCCAGCTGTAGTTCTTACCTTTGAAACGAGTGAAGTGTCCGCCATTTTAGTTTTTACAACCAAAACAACTCAATCTCGTCCCAGGTCTTCTCGGTTAACGGTGCATTAACCTGTAGAAGGCTGCATTTTTGCCGTCATTTCCTCGTTGAACACAAAATTCGTCCAAATTTGGACATAAGTAACTTGGTTATGGTGAATTGTGCGTGTGCTCTTAGCCAATCAGAATTGGGGAAATATTTTGAGTAAATAATAAGAGATGTTAGATAGCCAACGAGGTGCGTAGCGCCGAGTTGGCTATAATCATCTTATATCCAACAAGTACGAGTGGAATAATTGTTTTATTAATAACGCTCACAAAATATCGAGAATTCTTCCCGATTTTCAGCTTGTTTTTAATTTTGAGCAAACGCGTACAGTTAACATATATGGAAAGCATGGTATAATGGCTCATTTACCATGTTGATTAAGCCAATCAGAGCTCTAGAATTGCATTATCCAATGATTCATTTTTTAATAATAGGTGATGTATCTGCAGGATCGATAGCGCTACCCACCTTTTTCGCAACTGGGGCTTGAAGTAATATGTAAGAACATAAAGATCCATTTGCACTGGTCGTGACCAACCACTAGGCCAAAAAAAGAAGCTTTCGTTAGTTGAGACTACTGTAACTACTGTTAAAGCTAATGAGCTGCTGTTAAGGAAATTAGGATGTTCGTAAATGTTTAACCATTATGCACTGTGTCGTTTGATGTCGAACTGAATGAGAAGGAGGACAAATTAACTATGCTTTGGCAACCACAATTGAGGCCATGGAGTTGGTGTGTAAGGTGTGTACGATGAATAGGGAAAGTGGTATCGATGAAACGGGTGTTTCCTGGTGTTGCGTAGGCTTTTGTTGGTTCGCTTTTGTTTTCTGTTTTTTTTGTTTTTTTTTTTTTTTTTTTTTTTTGGTGTGTCTTTTTAACCTTGTGTATTTCTTCATTTGGTGATTGAACCCATCTGCGACAAAAACAAACTGCCGATAAACTCGAGAAAAGCTAGTTATTTATTTATTTATTTATTTTGGCAGTGAAGCTCGCAATTAATCTAGATGAACTTGCTGATCAACCAGATGAGGAGAAAACTAACCGGTTTCTAACCCATTTTCTAGATATAAACTGTGGCGGTGTATACGAAGACGGAACTGGTACAATCAGCTCCCCAGGCTTCCCTAATGGTTATGTAGATAACCTCGACTGTACGTGGCTTATATACCGCACGAAGGAAACTGCTGAATTTATTTTCGTGGATTTCGCGACGGAATCTAATTATGACATTGCGATTATTACCTCTGGAAGGTGAGTACTAACAAGTTACGAAACAACATCAGCAACGTGTCATTGTTTGTTTGGATTTAACCTTTATTTAAAAAAGTTTGACATCTTTTCTCTATGTAATCATCTTCGCCGAAAGTGCAAACACAGTAGGGACCTTTCAAGATCGGAGGACGTCGACGACGAAGGCGACGGCGGCGAAAACGTCGCTTAAAAAGTGAAATCGCGTTCTTTAAATCTTTATCGTGATTATTGAAACCCAGTTACTTTGTCAAGTATCGGCAAACTCTCCTGGGTTTGATCCAAGTTCAGAAAGAGAAAGAAAATTTTGTCGTGGCTTGTTTACGTCCTCCATAAAACAAGGTGAAAATAGACAAATTCATGTCGTAGTCATGAGGTGCAGCAAATGAATGTACAGAAAAATGTGAAGCACGTATGAAGGTGTTGTTTTGGTATTCTAAACTTATTGCTTTTATAGCGCTTTCGTTGCTGTCGCCAAGGTGGACATTGAGGTCCCCAGTACTATTGGAATTCCAGCGGAAATAGTAAAACACAACAGATTCCAGAAAACATCGAGTATTCATACAAGTGGACATATTAAAAGTCTATGATTTCGTTTGAATTTTTCGCACGTTAGATGTAAATTTGTACGCTCCTAAACGATGCCAGTTGAATAGTGGGCAAGCATAGGAAAAAAAATAGTTGGTAGTGATTACGTACCAACTTGTTAACCAAGTTGACTGTGGACAGACTGCAATCCTCATGGGCTGATAAAGGACTGTGCCACAAATGGTGCTTAAAGATTTGTTGCTTGTATTATTAAAACATCCTCAAAATTGTCGCTAATATTGCCGTTTAAAAATTGGCTTTTTTGGATCGTCATCTATAAAACTTAACCTGTCGCGCATTATCTTTCCACGTTCTCGGGCGAGTCGATTAAACGTAGATACATCAAAGATAAGTCATTCCTAAGGGAGCTGTGTCACCAAATTTATTGACATTCAGACAGTGGTAGATGCCACCAAATTCGGTGAAACATCAAAGTTACCGCTAAAAGAGTTAGAAGAAAGCATAAATGACCCAGAAAATACAAACTAAAGCACGGATGGACAAACTAGAAGAAGATTGAAACGGACTGCAAAACGATTTGCATTGTCAATGCAATGTGAGGAAAACACCGCGCGCGATTTAAATTCAACAGCGATTTGACAAACGTAGCGTCGAAACATGTCTGGTAAATCGAAGAAAGTTGTCTTGTCTTTGCGGTTACCTATATTGTTGCAGCTTTCTATAACTTTTGCATTGCAATTGTGCCTTTTAAAAACCTGTTAGCCTAACATTTTCTCAATTTTCATCATTGTTTTTAACGATTGATATTAAATAATTGCAAGACATATGTTGTTTTCCACAGACCTGTGATTTTGCCATTCACAGATTGTTTCTTAATTTTCTTTTTTTTTTTTTAGCGAACAAGGACGCGTAATTAGCAGTGCAAACAAAATGAGCTGGACAGCCTTGGCATAGTCCTTTAATGTTGTCACCTTGTGCTTCATGCTTAGTAATTGTTTCAGTTTTCTGTGCATATTATATATACGTATATTTTGTTTTAATTTCTAGATTTGGTGAAAAAGTCTTAACAAACGGATGGGGAGGCCACGTAGTACCATCCGGCTCATTCACATCGGACACATATCTTTGGATTCGATTCACAACGAACGTGGGGAATGCGGATGCTCGTTTCCACAAAGGATGGACCGGAATCTATCAGAAATACTGGCCTTACGTCAATGGAAAAAAGAAGAGAAAGTAACAAGGAACGTTTGGCAAATAAAATATGTTCAGTAGGCAAATCGTGTGGTTTTGCACAATTTTTACCGTGTAGATTAAAAGTGTATTAAAAAAAGAAATATGTCACCATGGAAGCAGACAAAAATAAAACTTATGAGTCTTATGCTACTCTGTGCTTTAATTTCGTCTCATTGTATTAATGAACTTGTATCCGTTTCCAGCTTTTAAAGGAGCGACTATCCGTGCCAAGGTAGAGATTATTTTATATCATTTTTTTGGTCAACAGTCGCTGTTTATTCCAGAGAGCGCTGCAAGAAACGTCACACAGCCAATTTACTTTATTAAGATAAATTTTGGCCGCCCGAGAGGGCTAATTTATTGATAAAATCAAGCCACAATCAAAGTAGTAAGCAACGATTTCTTTTAATTTCTTTAGTCCTGGCAAATGTACACTGTAAGGGTACGAGGAAAAAAGGATGCGAAGTAAAATACATCGAAAAATAAAACAGGGGGTGAAGGCGGGTCGAGCTCTTAGTAGGGCGCTTCAGGCCTGGGGACAAAGAACGAACTCGGGGAACATGCTGCAACTGGAGGAACATGCTGCAGTTAATTGATGTTTAAAACACGAACGGCAGTGATTAATCAGTGGTTTAAAGTTTGAGCGCTAAGTGCGAGAATTTTCAATCACGTGCTGTTAGTGCTTTGAACATTTTCATTTTCCTGTCAATAGGATTCCTAAATAATGCATTTTACATTTTAAAAACGTGTTGATTAAAAAAGGTCAAACAAAAGCAGTAAAAGAACAAATGATGGACAGAAATATTTATGCAAATGAATTATGCAACTTAAAGAGACATTTTAGGAGTCTACCTTCGTAATACAGTCGACTAAAAGAAAGAAATTTCACAGGTAGCCGGCTCCACAACACTAGGAAAAATAATGCTCGAGTAGAGTGCCGCTTAATCTAACTGCAAGGTGACGTAATGGATATTGATAATTTTCACGGCATTACAAACGGGTAAGCACTAAGTTTCGTTCCTGTGACTCATTTCGCCCATTCCTTCTTGAAATGGTACCATTAACCATGCTGTGCGGCTTCTTTTGGTTAGAAAACTTCGTATTTCATTTTAGAATAAGTTAATTCCGACCGGCCAGTGGGTTTTTTGTTCGTATTGCCTTCGCAATACGATCATCCAAAAGAACAAATTCCACAGTTAACCGGCATCACAACAGAAAAAAATTGCTCGAGTAGAGTGTCGCTTAATCTAACTGGAAGGTGACGTAATGAACAATGATAATTTCACGGAATTGCAAACTGGTATGCACTAAGTTCTATTGCCCGTGACTCATTACGCCCATTCCTTCTTGAAATGGTGCCATTGACCACGCTCTGGGTTTTTTTTTTTGGTTAGAAAACTTTCATTTTTTCATTTCAGAATAAGTTAATTCTGACCGGCCAGTGGGTTTTTGTTTGATTAAGAATGACTTCTTCTTTAACTTTTCCTGCGAGATAAAATAGTTTTGTCAAATTTTTGTTTTTCATTTATTTGCAAAGAAGGGGAACCGTCAATATGAAAATTCATGTCTATTAGCATTATCAACAGCCTCGCTCCCAGTCGTCCTCGGCGATTTTGGATGTGACGTCACCTGTCAAGCTTGTCGGGAAAGTTCGCCGAGCCGCCTGGCAAATAATGGCAAATCCAAAATGGCGGCGCCAAGAATGCGACTTCAGCCAAGATTCTTGAAGAAATGAAAAAAAGCGTCGGAAATAGGTTGGGATTCTTTAATCAACGTTTGCCATCAAATACCTAGAGATGATGGAGAATTTTCTTTCAAGGAATCGTTCCGCGTGTACACCTGTTATTATCGTAGGTCAGTAATTTCGAGTTTTGATTGTATCAAAAAATATGGACTTAATTCAGCCCAACAAATCGTCGCATCTCAGGAGTGTGTACATGTCCCATTGAATGTGCCTGGGGAAGGAAGCTGCCTGTCGGGAATGAGTTAAACCATGTTGAACTTCGTGAAAGATGTGTCATCGAATTAGCTCTGTACTCAGCATATTATCTAGCGGATGCAGAACTTGTTAATCGAATCGTAGCACTGCGCGCATTGCAATTCAAGAGAGACTTCTAGCCTAGGTGTAGTCCTAAACGATAGTGGATCAAGTCGTAGACGCTGCTTTTGTCCATTAACAGCTGCTGCTGCTTTTGTCCATTGTCAGCCTTTTGAATACGCCTCAATGTGGCAGATACAAGCTATAGGGGCAGTTTACAACATACTGAGTAACATCAGGAGCGTTCAAATATCCCGAAACGGCATCAGATGTAAAACACTTTGTGTCCATGCTTTTATAGCATTTAGCATGAATAAAATTTAATTCCATATCCAAGTTATCTTCAACCAGTGTATCTATCCACAATTTAAATGAGATGATCCTTTGGGGACTGTTGAAAACTTTCAGTCAAGCTTTCTTTCTGTTTCTATTAATGTCTGATTCCATCTTATGTAAACTTTATCTCAACCGTGGTAGGATTAGCTCAGTTGGTAGAGTGCTTGACTGCAGAATGGGAGGTCACAATTTCAATTCCCGGGGTCGGACCAATACTCAGGATCTTAAAGTGACTGAGAAATGAAGGTATTACCTTTGCCCTGCTGCAAATGGCTAGACCTTTGCGTGGCTCGGATGCATGACCATATAAAATGGCGGTAGTAGACGTAAAATAGTGTCCCCAATTATTACGTTTGTGCTGAATACATTGACACTCAAATTAAGTGCTTTCCTTTTTTTTCTGTTTTCTTTTTTATCTCGAACCACTCTCGCAGCAGTGGTCTTCCAGTGAGTCATAAGTTTAAAAATAATATTACATGAGTTTTTGGTGCTATTTTCAAAATCATGAGACAATTAGAATGTTCTGCGTGAACTGGGAGCTGTAAGATACAAGTTCTAGGCCCTAGGTTATTATAAAGAGCAAAAAGCATATTCAAAGAGCTGAAAATGGCATGTAGCTGGCCCAGCCAATGGTACCATTATGGCATCAAATTAAGTGGAAAAAGGTCTTGAGTTGGTCTTGAAGTTGTTTCCCCAACCAATTCCCACAACAAGAAGTAGTTGTTTGCAGGTTTAAAAAATTTCTCTTAACAAATTTCACAAGTGTTCAAAACTATGGCTTGTAAGGAAATCAATCTAACTTCCTTATAAAATCAATACAGTTTTGTTTGATGAAACCTAAGAAATTCAATATTAAACATAATGGTTTCATATCTTTATTTCCATTTCAAGTTTTCTTCAGCTTAATTACATTTTCCTTTTGCTCCTGTATCCTTCGCATCCCCAGTGTCATCTATTACATACTCTCCTTTCATCCCCTTCACAAACTTTCTGAAAATTAATGTAAAAGAAGGTAAAAAAAAATAGACAATAATATATAATAAAAAACTAAACATTTGATGTACAATACCTTGCTCAGAAATTATGCCTGTCAGGCAGGTAAATTAAGATTATATGTCAACTATCCAAAATTTTCCCATCTCGAAAATTGCAAACTCCTTCAGAGTGATTTTACTTAACGCATGAAACAGGAAGTAGAATACTAAGCACTATCATGATACTACTATACATACAGTGTACAGTGATCGTCCCATGCCCAACTACGAAGAAACTTTTTTCTCGCTTCGTGTAGCGAACAAGACTGTAAACGATATGCTTAACTTACCAGTGTTTTGGGGAAAACATGTACATGCCCGCCACATTTCGTTGCTATCAGTTGAAACGGTCCAAAGATGCTCGGAAGAGATGTATTGATCTCATGAGTCCGAAATATTCCGAGATCGTCGCAGAAAACAAAGGATTTACGTCGAGAAATTATCTGGGACTTTTTCTCGTCGATCTGGGACTTTTTTGCCATTTTTTGCCAGGCCTCGCGCTATCGCGCTCGGTTCCAAGCCTCCTCTGGTCACTCGGAAAGCGCGAACAGGCTGCATTATCAACATAAAGTGTTCATCCTAATCGGTATTCCATTTCTTTCAGTCACTCAGCCGGCCCGTTTTTTCCTTGCGGCTAAATTCAAAGCCCTCCTCTAATCACTTTTCAGTTTGCAGAGTTTTATCGGGTATAAAGGTATTTACACGTGATTAAATCCGCGCAGTCAATTAGACAATATGTCTGTACTGAATATTAAGACGGAATCTAACAGGAAATTGAGCAACTTCAATTTTTAGTTGACAAAAACCTTATACCAGAATAATTAAAACAATATTGCATTCTTTTTTTTACATTTTTCAAGAGCTATAGATATAATTAGTTATCTGTTATAACTCCAAAGACTGTTGCTCATGGGAGCCCGAGAAAATAAATGTCAAATTGGACAAGAATTGAGAAAACACAGGTAAAATTCTGAAAATTTCATGTGTAAGATTCCATTTTGTGAAATTTGCCATTTATTTTCTCCTTGATATCCTCGAGAGAAATTTAAAGCTTTCTGGACTATAAAAGCGTATTTCTAAAAAAGTCACAGAATTAATCCGTGATCTTGGTCAAAATTGTAGATATATTCATATTTTGGTGTTTTGGCAAAATAAGCCTAAAAATAAAGGTAGATAATATTCTAGAAAGAAAATGAAGCTTTCTAGACCATGAAAATGAAATTCCGAAAAAGTGGCAAAATTCGAATGATTTTGGTCAAAAAATTGAAATGTTTTGCTAGTTTGGTTTTGTTTAAAATAAGAAAACATGTTTATTCCCTTGATACTCAAGACCGAAATTAAAAGCTTTCTGGAAATTAAATATTATTTCTCAAAAAACCACAAAATTCGAATTTTTCTAAAGGGGTTAGTTAGTCCATGATTTTACTCAAAAATTGAAAATAAAAAAAATGAACGGAGAAGTATAGTTTGTTCGCTTTTAGAAAATGATTCAGAAGGTTTCCCGATGACAAAATTCTATTTTCCAAAAATTCGCAAAGTGTGAATTTTTCTAAAGGGTTTAGCCTAGGAAATTGTTCAAAAATTGAAATATTTTGCTAGTTTGGTCTTGCGTAAAATAGGCCAAGAAATATTTTTTGGACCTTCTTGATGAAGGGTACTGTCAGGGTACGGTCTGCTAAAGTTAACCCTGGAACCGGCAAATTGAAGGTAAAGCGAAAAACTCGATCTTTTTCTCAACATTGTGAAGGATTTCCTGTAAAGAGGCGAAACATTTAACAGACGGAAGGTAGCGACTTATGTTGTCCGGATGGTTATTCATTTTGATGGTGCTTAGTTATTTAGCTGCCACATGATAGGGAAGCTACAAAAACCGTTCAAGAGGCAGAATCATATTAAGACAGGAGGAAAGTTAACATAGCTTGGCAGTTAGATGATTTCTGAAGGTGCTACAAGATTTCATGGCCTCAGAAATTGCAAAATGATATGCTTGTTTAAAAATGAATGCAAGATTGAGGACTCGACGAGACTTGCCGAACCTTTGAGAGCCTTTCTTTCATTCAAAGATTATCGATAATCTTTTGAGGTCGTTAGCCCCATCGGCTCTCTCTTTAATTTATGTTTTACTGCTTGTTATTTGCATTGTTTATATGTAACATAGTTCCTTAGTATCGAGAGAAAAAATACCAGGCTCAGTATAAAATTTTGTATTGTGTGAATGAAACCGATTGCCAGGTATGTTAGGTACACAACAGAGTACATTTGATTCGCTTTAATTCGATTGAATGCCTGTTAAATATCTCGTTTGTTTTCCTTCATATGTCTTCATGAAACATTTGCCGTTGGGATATATTAAGTTATCAAAATCTCCCAGAGCCCTTTTTATTCAATGCCACAGTAACTTGGCTTACAACAGCCGCAGGCGAAAGATGTAGTCCGTGTAGAGCGAAGCATAGTTTTGACTTGGTGAAAAGCTCCTTTCATTGTAGAGGCGAATTAACCAGCAGAATAAGGTAAAAATTTTTAAAAAGGAATAAATCCATGATTTTGGTTAAAAAATTAATTTTTTTCCATTTTTTAAATTTAGGCAAAATAAGCCAAATAAATGTGTTTGACGATATTCTAGATAGAAAAAAAAGCCTTTTTAGACTCTCAAAACATCGACTTAAGAAAGTAAAAAAATTGCATTTTTCTAAAGGGGTTATACCATGGTTTTCGTCAAAAATTTGAATTCTTTTTCTTTTTTTGCAATTCCCCGTTTAATTTGACTAATTTGATTCTAAACTAAACACTATGGAAAAATAAACGGGAGGTTCAACAGTCATTTTCATGGTGTAATCTGAAATACCTTATTGTTTTGTATGATTATGGGCGTAGCTGTTCACGTGACCTTAAGAGGCACAGCGTGAGCTCCAAGAAAGTTCCAATTTAAAGCACATATGTTTCAGTAAAATGAAGGGAGATGGCAGACAGAACAAGAAAAAATAATAAAAGCTCAAAATGGAGCGAGGAGCCATGCCCTTAAATCACCCGAGTCTGTGTATTTCAGGCAAAATAGGGCAAGAAAATGAGTTTAGTGATATTCTAGAGACCAAAAAAGCGTTTCTATGCTATAGAAACAAATATAATATATATTCTATATGGTTTAACTCAAAAATTTGAAATTTTTCATCTTTTTATTTAAGGCAAAATAGGGGAAGAAAATGTGTTTGGTGATATTGTAGATAGGACAAAAAGCCTTTGTAAAATATGTATAGACACGTCATCTTGAAAGAAGTTGAAAAAATTGCATTTTTCAAAGGGGTTAGTACATGGTTTTGATCAAAAATTCAATTTTTTTTACACTTTTTTATTTTAGCCAAAATAGGCCTAGAAAATGTGTTTGGTGTTATTCTAGACATAAAAAAACCTTTCTAGGCTATAAAATATAAATCTAGCCAGGGCTAAAAGCGAAGCTCCCATTAATAAATTTATAATTTAAATCAAACAATAAACTTGTAATCCACAAATCAGTTGACTTAAGGGCACATATGTGACTTTTTAGGGAAAACTAAGGCTAAGTAATTTTAGAGTGAAAAAAGTCTTACATCGAATTGATAGCCGTACAAATAATGGCAATCATCTTCGATCACATTTAAGAGCAATAATGGCTCTTGATCACAGTTGTTTAGGCCTGGAAAACGAATCGTTGGAAAACAATATCAGGCCGAATTTTTTGCGTTCGACAAGTTTAATTAACAAAATCTTGCCAACAACTCTGGGTGCGTGTAAACCAACATTGTTTCCTTTTTATACATTACATCTGCGGGGAAACAGTAATATGAGGCGCTGCTTTTATCATACAGACCTCAGACAAAATGCAGTATTTCACAATTTTTCAAGACAAATTGTACTCATTCAATATTCAGAACCGTATGAAGCACGCGTGGGCTTTTAGCAAAACCGTTCAAAAAACTTCCAAAATCACCTAAACGGCCAGTCGGTTCCCACTTTTGACAAGCGCCAAATTTTCAGTGAACATTAAAAGAGTTACGCGTCAACATAATGAAGAATTTATTGTATTTATTCATTTTCTTTATTTAATGGTTTTATAAGGATGTGTAATCTTAAAAAGCGTTTGATACGCCCGGCAATTTGAGTACACCTGCAAGCGATGTTTATGAACGACTGAAAACAAACGGCAAAGCGATTTAAATTGCAAGAGACTACTAACAATCAATAAAAGAAATGTAATTCGGTGAAACATTTACAGAGACAACAATTTTCATTCACGAAGACAAGTATTAAAGCATCTCTAAATATCCTGAGTCTTCAAGCTTAAGGTGGCTCGATACAGTTTCTTAGGGTGAATACCTCCCACGTTTGAGCGTAAACTATGTCGCCATAAACAAAGATTTGGAAAAATTAACACCACGGTTGTATTAGATAAAGATGAAACTTTGTTATGATCAGGGTTGCAATGACATCGTAGTTGTCATGGCAACGAAATGACGCCATTACCTATTTTACTTGCAGCAGTATATCTCGGCTCTGGGAACTGTTCTTCCAAAATCGTTTACTAGAGCTTTTTCCTACAATAGTCGCCTCAATGTTCGTGAAGTTTAAGCGAAATCTGTGCGAGCGTTATCGAGATATTTTGGGAAGAAGTTTTTTTGTTTAGAAATACGGTAAAAAATGGACAATCTTGATGTTCGACTGTTATCTGTGCTAAACGAAGCGCTTTTGACATGCAATTTCACCTCATAGTAGTTTCAATCTTTTTAAAAACCTGTGAAAGATCATGGAGATACCTCTAGCCGATTGCTAGAAAGAAGGATTTGATTAGTATGTATCGGGGCGCTCTTATTAGAAATATGTAAACATTTCGGTCTACTTTAACAAATTAGCGAATAATTTTTAAACCACTCGATAATTTTTTTAAAAAATTTAAGAGTCTTGAGATAAAGCGTCCTATTATATGACCTCTTAGTTTCAAGATTATTGATATATTGTAAGGTACTAAAATAAGCGTTTCAATTCGCTAATATTTTTGTCAGAAATTTTGTCTTTACAAGTGAGTCTCTCATTATTCAGGGGTATTGTCTCAAGGTTTCATTTTCACGTGAACAGCAGTAACTAACAATGCACTTGACATATGCAAAAATGCTAGCTATTTTTGTGCACGAAAATATGAATTTTGGAGACAATACCTGTGAATAATGAGAGGCTATCACTTGTAAACACAAAACTCTTGACAAAATATTAGCGAATTGAAGCCCTCATTTTACTGCCTTACAATATATCAATACTCTTGAAACTAAGAGGTCATATAAAAGGACGATTAATCTCAAGATTCTTAAATTTTCTAAAAAATTTATCGAGCGGTTTAAAAATTATTCGCTAATTTGTTAAAGTAGACCGAAATGTTTACATTACTGCTAAAAAGAGCGCCTTGATACATACTAATCAAATCCTTTTTTCTAGGTATCTCCATGATCTTTCACAC